GTGTGTGTGTGTGTGTGTGTGAGAGAGAGAGAGAGAGAGAGAATTGCCTCTCCTTTGCTCTTTTCTCCTTTTCCCTGCTCACCCAATAATTTGAATGTGCCTCCTTTCATGCCATGTTTAACACCACATCTTAATAGGCCATGGACTGATCTGCAAAATAACCCTTATTAGAAGAATAAAATAACCCTTATTGGAATAATGCCTTTGGAGTAGGTGGAGTAGGTGTTTCCCTGGAAACTTTGTCACCTGGAGATATATTTTTTTTTACTTCCCAGGCCCACATAATTGTCATCTTGCTCTGTGTTTAATCTCTACAGAGAAGCCATATGCATGTGGGGGAGTTGATTTATTAGAGATGCTTCTTGTATTTGATGAAATAGAAGAGCACCATTGAAGATATCCTTGGACATGTGTAGAAATGATTGTTCTATATTTTAATGGAGGGATTGGTGCTTCTTCTGTAGCCCCACATCTTCCCCCTCTCTCTTTAGAAATTCTTGCATTTTGGTAGCCTAATGTTGAACCAAAGGTAAATTTGCATTGTAATAAGGTCAGTGTCAGAAAATAGGATCTTTGTTGTCAGCAAAGAGCAAAACCATGTCCCATTATTGAACAAATTTGGGAGAGAATATCATTATGTATCATGTTGTATTTATGAGCTGAATAATAATATGACTGACATTTTTCTTTCAGTAATGGTCTTATATTGTAACATTGATAATTTTGTTTGTGAGAGAATTCTCCCTTGTGGCATTGCATTGTTTATGTTTTCCCCTAACATACCAACTGTTTTATAATTAGGCTAAAGTAGCTTGGTGCAACTGTTGCATCATGTAATCGTGATAAAAGTATTAAAGTTATTTGATTTTTTGTTTTATATGCCCAGAAGCGATTGCTTTTTGCCCTGTGTAGTCATAGTATGTAGAATTAAGTGAATTAAGTACTGTTTTCACTAATTTGAAGATTGAAGAAACATGAACTTAGCCTGAAGTTTTATATGCAGTTTTCCAAAGCAGTAGTCTCCAAACCTTTTTGATAGTGCAATCCAATCAATAAAAAGTTTGAACATGGACTCCAATATGTGCATGTTTAATATATTATTCCTGAATGAATATATTACATACTTATAAATAGTATATAAAATATTATATACTACAATATTATAGTATTTATATATCTTAATTTCTTATTTTTCTAGATAATAAATATAAATAGCCTTTGTTCTACTTCCTTCCTACACTGCAATGGATCAATTTGTGCACTCCCTGTTGTGTATGTGCACTTCATTTTAGAGACCAATGTTCTAGAACGCATCTCTCCAAAATATAGTACATACACTAGTTTTATTTGACAGCTATTGTAACCTTGTAGATACCAGTTGAAGGTTATAATATACGAAGTAGATTGAATCATTTTTGTATTTGAAACAAAATCTCATAATGTCTCTCCTTGGAAATAATAACAATAGTAATAAATAGCAGTTTCTGTCTTTCGTGGCATTAAAATCAGCTTCAGGAGATTATTACTCTACCATGATCAAATTAGGCAGATATAGGAAGCCATTGTATTAGCTTTTCATTTAAGGATATGAAAAGGATAACATTTGTGGATAATTTCTAACCACTTAAATTATTTTACTGCAGATTATAACATTGTTGAAAATAATTTTTATTGCTTTTAAAATAAAAAAATGAAGAAAAACAAAAACACAATAATACATAATTTTTAAAAATGCACAACAAATGCATAAAAATGAGTGAAAAATTACAACAAAAATATAGGATAATATGCTGTTAGAATAAACAGATTTCTCTACATAATTATTTAATATAAACACTAGCCATGTATGTGTGTTCATTTCTAATACACTTATAGAACGGTCATGTTTTTAACCTATCGGTACTTTATTTTATATAAATGAGTCTCATATTCTATTTGCTCATGCAAAGTTTTCGTCTACAGGCAATCTGCTCCTAAGTAGCAAGTGAAATCAAATCTTCCATCCACTGGAAGAGTGGAATAAATGGAGTAAATCTTTTTTAAAATACTGCAGTATCAGTCTTTTAGATATAACAAGGGCATGAAGAATCCATTTATGCTGTCCTGTTGTTAATTTCTATGTATTAAGTATATAATTCAAGAGTATATTATTGTCTCAGAATTTTACTTTTTGATGCAATTTATAATATATGTGAATTGCTTTGAACCTCATTTGAGATGCTGTATAAATGGTGGTATTCTTATGATATATTTATGGTACTTGTTTATCTCTGTAAATTTTTTATCAGATTACAAAATATATTGCCAAATAAAACTATTAGAAAGGAATAGAGTATTAAATGTTAAAAAAAATCTAGACTAGTCTTAATTTGACACCTTGCAAAAGTGTTGGATTTTGGAACTATATCTTCCAGAATTCCCAGGCAGGGACAAGTTAACTATGAATTATAGAAGCTGCAGTCCCTGTACATGTGGAGAACATGTGATTGGAACAAGCTGATGTAGGGTATTTTTGCATGGTATATTTTCTCATTGGTGATCCATAGTTTGTACAAAGCCCAATTTGGGGGATTTGAAAGACATATTAAACCATGAGTTAGCATTTTGAGTGGATAAATGGCTCCAATCTGTTTGGGGCCAAAAGGCATATTTGACATTTTAAGAGCATACGACAGGTATCATTAGAAGAAAGAAAAATATTGACATGAATAGGATTTGCCTACAAATTGAGTGCCATAATCAAACACACTCTAACTCCCCAGAAATTTATTAATGTCCAGTTTGGCTCTTTTCTATGCAGATAAATTCTATCCCTCCTTTCTCTTTGACAGAGGGAGACAATAAAAAGTTATCTATATGGTAGTTGGACTAATACACTAGAATAGACTATATATTTTTCTGGGGGAAATATTCCATTATTTTGCATAAAAATGAATAAGCAAGATAATTAATCAGCATGATAAGCATGTTGTCACATTTTTCTTTTTTCTTTTCTGACAAAATAACTCAGTATATTTGTTCAAGTAGCTATTCAGTCCTGCTAAAATAGTTTTAGTTTTTAATACCAGCAACTTTTTCAAAATTCAAATTCTATCAAACTGAATGCTACATTATAAAACTTCCAGTGAAATAATTTCTGGGCAAATCTTTGAATTTGATGTGCATAAGAATTAAACCACACTGCATGTAATTTTTTTTCTTAATCATGTATTTAATTTCAGCTCTTGGATGGCTTGAAAAACTATTAAGATATTTGTGTAGCAGGTGAACTTAACCAGAAAATGAAACAAAGTTCCTTTCAGTTTCAATATTAATATAAGCCGAATATGCTAAATTAGATTAATTTTGGATTGTGGAATATTGTTGGATTCATTTTTTCCTAGAAAAGTCAGCTCCAGTCCGTGTAAAGAGATGTCTGCTACTGAATTTCTCTCTTTATAAAGTGCTAATTCCCTGGAGGATCTGAGATTAAGCAAGATACATACCACCCACAGGGGAGATGAGATTTTTTTAATATCTGTATTTCATTTAGAAGACCATCATGATTCCAATTGTTAGGCCTGTTGGTTACTCTCACTTAGAGAGGATTTCAGTTATGTAATCTTAAACATATAGTATCTTTAAGATAATTTATAATTTATTTTTACAAAAACTGTACCTTTCCAGATCAAATCGCAATATTCTGCTAGAATGATAAAATTACCTTAAAAATGATAATGATAAACTATAAGACGTGGTTTATAGGTTCTGAATATTATGTCACAAATACAAATATATTTTTGACTAATCCCACTAAGAGTAATGTAGGTGATCCATCCTTTTCGATGTCTACTGTGAGCCTGATTATAAACATAATTGTCTAGTATTGTTTAGGACTAACTAGGTATACTGTCTTAGAATAGAAACCTCTTCCATTCATGAATGTTATGTTAACTAGTAAATATCTCATATTTCTTTTGGAAATAGGATGCTTTGAACCCTACCCAAAAATAGTATATAGCATGATCGTGCTGGTTGATAAAGCATCGTGCCTATAAATGAATGGTAATTAGAAGTTCTAAAAGATGAAATATTATCTTTGCTCTCTTCTAGAAAATGAAGATTCAATTCAAAAATCAATCGAAGCTACTTCAGAAAAGGATATATTACCATGCAGGTAAGATAATAACTGTGACTCTCTTGATATAAATCATTTGGGTTGATCTTTGTTTTTATTTTTACTTGTTAACATGCTGCTAGATAGAATCCAAAGGAAAATTCCATACTCTCAAGGCAAGTCCTCTTCTCCCACTAGCTATGATGAGTAGCAATACCTTTGGAATGCTCACTAGAGAGGGTCTTCATATATATATTTCCTGTTAACTGTTATTGATAATCAAGGCATATGGATAAGTAATAGCAGTGTTTTTACCTTTTAAATTTGTTTGGTGTTTTATTTATGATTCAGAGCTTTACTGGATGCTTGATACTAGTGTGAGCTGTAAGGGGAAATTAAATATATAAAAATGAAAACAATCCCAGCAAAAATGTTTGTGAACATTTTATTTGTTAGCTGTATTTATGGTTAGATTTATATTCCATCTTTCCTCCAGGAGTTCAAGGCAGCCATCATAGCATTCCTGCCTCCAATATCATCCCCACAACAAGCGAGGTAGGTGAGCTGAGAGAGTAATTGCCCAAATTCATTCAGGCAGCTTTCATGACAGAAGGTAGACTTAGTCATAGGTCTCCTCTGTCTTAATTCAGCATCTTAACCGCTACTCATTAACTCATTACACATGATTAGTTCCAATAAAACCTAATAATCTTACTAAAATAACAAGTAGAAATATCATTACTATGTTCCTAGGACTAAGAACAATTTTATAGTATTTTTGTAAAATTAATATTATGCAAAGCAATATGATAGATTCTAAAATAGTTCTTTAAAAATAGGGATATTATTCTGCATAAAATCATGGAATAGAGAGTGGGATAATAGTGATAAAGCTTTGATCAGTTCCTCATTTCAGACATAATATAAAACATGCATACAATGACAGAGATAATGGAGCAACAGATTACAGCTGAAATGCTTTGTGGGGAGTTTTTTAGGGAATACTATATAGGTAAGGCCTAGGCAATAGTCTACTTAGTTTTATTTTATATTAACAACAATTTATCAAGTGTATATGCCACCTGATTCCCAGCAATTCTGGGAGGTGTATACAGTATTTAAACATTTAAAAACAAAGAACAATATAAGAATAGGAAATAGCAAAGAAATCAAAACTGGAGGGGAGAAAGAATATTAGTCATCCTTTGCAATTAACCAGTAAATAGCTTTTCAACCATGTTAAAAACTCAAAACAATTAAGTAGTTTTATAGCCATGTAACATTACACAGAAGTCTTCATTCTAATATTTTCATGGTATTCTTTTCAATTACTTTTCTCTATTTTTCTCAATGCTGCCAAGTATACAGAACATTGCATGCCCATATCATTTTCCATAAGAAAAGTACACCATTTAATAAAATAATTTTATTTTATAGTTAGTCCCACAGTTGGAAATATAATATTTAAAATGAAAAGAAATAATATTGTAGGCTGATTTGGTTAATAAAAACTAACTTAAATCTCATTGTTTATTTTGCTATCATATCTTGCCATTGGAATTTGACTCCTTCTAGTTAATGAAATTTAAGGCTGAATGTGGAGAGGCAATTCTTGACTTAAAACCAGTTGCTTAATAACTGTTCAGTTTTGGCAGACTCAGAAATGGTGCATTAAGGCATGTAAAGTGCTTCTGGCATTATAAAATGTTGCCTTGCTGGCCATGTGGTCACATGACCACATTGCAGATGCTTAGCAACCAGCTCACATTAATAACAGGTTGCCAAGTGCCCCCCAGTCATGTGATTGCCATTTGCAAGCTTCTCTGCTGGCTTCCCCAAAAAGTCAGTGGAAAAGCCAGCAGGGAAGATTGCAAAGCCAGCAGGGAAGATTGCAAGTGGAAGGCACAGAGAGGAGTTGAAATATTTGAGGTGTAGCTGATGTTTTGCTCTCAAATGTTGCTGTAGCCCTCTGAAAGATTTCAGGTTCCCTCCAGGAACAGAGGGAAAATCCTTTGGTAGGCTGCAGAAATGGAGCTAAAATCCGGAAGATTTCCCATGAAGGGTTTCCTCTCTGTAAATGCAGGGGAGGTGAAGGATGCAACAATGTTTGAGAGCAAAAGGGGTGCCTGCTGTATGCTGACATTTCAGCTGTGTGGAGTTGAAATCCTTCAGCAGGCAGCTGTTTTGTTCAGCCTGCTTAACTGGGACATCACTTAACAACCGCAAGTGGAAATGCTAGGATTGCGGTTGTTGAGTGAAACAGTCACATGAGTGTTTTGCTTAATGACCACTCAATGACTTGAGATTCCAGTCCCAATTGTGGTTGTAAGTCAAGGACAAATATGTAATATAAATACTGTCTTCTAAGGCAGTCTCTATATTTTTTCTATTTGTGAGCACATTATTTATCAGCATGCATAGAAACTTTACAGCAATGGTTACCTATACTTTTTGGGCTAGTAGAAATATTTTGAATTTTTGAAAAAATGACATGCATGCACTTTCAGAAATGGGACCCCTGGTGGTTATGAACCACCCATTTATAAAATGGGTGCATTGGACAATGGCCAACTGCACAAACATTAAATTACCAAGAAAGAATTTGGTGGAAGAGGTCCACCTACTAGCCCACTCTCCAGAATATTACCTTCTATGCTTGGCTTAGGGTAATCATTTTTTTCCTAGAAAGATGAATTTTCTTCCTGGCAAGTTCTTGTGCTTTATCCCCTAGAGTCTACCCTTTGTGGATATATTACACTAGGGAATTCATGTGGAGAAGAGAACTGCCACTTATTCCTATTCTTTTATCCTTTTGTTCGTCTCTTATGTATATAAAACACCTGCTCTCATAAACAACAATATATTTTGACTCCTCCCCTTTACAGTAAACTCAATACATCATATGTTTTGCAGGCACAGCTTCAATCTCCTTCATTTCTATTTGAAAACAACCTTCATAGCAGACATGGGAAAATTGCTGCTGCTTCTTCTTATTAAATCAGAATAGATGATAATTAGATAGAGAGTGATATGGCAATCTATCAGACACTTTAAATATTTGCATTAAATGCTAAGCCCACATGCAATGATCAACCTGTGGAATATTTGGCAGGGATAAGAAGTTCTTGCTCTAGCTAATTGAACTGTTTTCTATAAAATATATTTTTATACACTACATTTTCTTTCTTTACAATGTTTTAAAACTGATTTTTATAGCTAAGTTGCTTGAACTAATCAGTCAAATTGAGCCTTTTTTGGATGGATACATTATCTATGATAGCTAATTGTATTTTAATGCTGGTTGTAGTTGAAACCCAGTGTTTATGAAAAGATTCAGCAATAATTAGTCCTGGAGAAAATCTACCTATGTGGTCACTTAAGAACCAACACTAACTTGATGGCACATAACATTCTTTCAGCTGCCTAAAGGAACACAACACAGCATTTCTCATTTGAATTTTGGCTTAGCTGAGACTCATCTGGATATAAAATGTAACCCAGAGGAATCCAATTTGACTCCAAGTCACTTTACAAGTCTCTGTTTTCCCAGTTGATTGGCGTTTTACCTAGCTGTTATACCAGGTTCTTAAAACATCCTGCATTCTTGTGCTATCTTTCTCTGAGAGGCTGCAGAATGGATCACCTATAAATTCAGATACTACAAAGGATCCTGCAGGTGCTAATGGTAGTCCAGAGGAGCGAGATATAGTTGGAGTGGAGGAAATTCTAACTGATCAACCTCAGCACCAAGAGGAGGTAGGTGATTTGACTCTTGGCCTGTTTCTACTTGCCAAACTATCATTACAATCCTTTGTTTCTAAACATGTTTATTGATGTTTTTCATTTTAGTGGCTGTATGCTTTGAAATGTTTGTCTTGAGATAATAAATTCATATATGTAGTACAAATGATAAGATTATTGAACTGTATTTTTTCTGGGGTCCAATATATTTTAATTGATTACATTTCTGTGTCGCCTAGAATTGAAGAAATGTGGAGCAGAAAAAAAACTTTAGAAGATAATACGTTGAAATATCTTCTGAAATGTTTTTCTAGTTAGTAGGATGACATAGTTGCAAATAGGAAATTAAGGAATTAAGATAAAGATACGTAGAGAAAAATCTATTTTTATTAAAAATTAAGGACTTTAATGCCACTGTATTTTATGTATATTCTATACATTTGTCTGTATAGGAAGCTATATTGCAAGTGACAAAAATCTCTGCACCACAGGGACCAGGTGATATAATCATGATACAGTCTGAATATACAGGTGCAGTAGACATCCTGTCTGCAGAGCTAGAAACTACAGATCTTCTAAGTGAACAGAAGAAAGGTAAGGATTATGCTTTCACTGCTATGTCTGCATATGGATCAGTAGTTAGCATTCTATTGAAGAAATCTGCAAGATTTGAGCTGTTTTGTGGTAGAGTATACTAATAGTCTTGAAATGTTCATATTTAAGAAAGCAGCAAAAAAGATTTTGATTCTTGCTGTTTAATTTAGTTTTAGTTTTTCAATTTTTTGTATTGTATATAATTTCTATCCTTGGTTGGATTGGTTTTTCTTTTTTATTTATCTCTTACATTATTTCAAAATTTGCTGTTACACTATACTTATTTGGTGAGGGTGAACTTCCCTTTGGATTATGTAAGTTTATTTATTTTCGACTTGCCTCCAGGGAGATAGTGGCATACAACCTTAATAATAAATAAATAAGCAAATTTTGTTCCAACCTAGGTTTTTTGTCACTTCACCTTTACTCTTTTTTGTCTGTTGTATTTTTTCTTCTGTTTAAAGTTTTTAATCTGTAATTGCCAAGATGTTGGAGGTTGGGCAGTATATAAATGTAATAATTAATTATTGCTATTATAAAGGAGTATTATGGCAGAAAAAGAAATCCACAGAAATCTGAAATATGGGAAGACCAAAATAGAGTTCAGGTTTCTGTTACATTATTTAATTTTAATGCTTGGGATGAAATTATAATGATCTCATAGTGAATAGTCAATGGATTTTTTAAATTTTAAGTATGGCAAATTAATACGGCCCACATTGTTGGGATCATTCATTACACCTTTATCATCCAATTTGTTCTTAGAAACGTTGCTGTGCCAAGATGTCTAAGTCATTATACAGTGTATGGTAGTATCGGTGAGTCTTTGAAAGAATAGATTCAGTCAGTTAAAAAGACTCATAGCGAAAAACTGTCAGCTAAGAGAGGGGCTAAAAAACCTAATTCGTTCGTTTGAAAAAAGGGAAATCTTGTTATTAGAATATCCAGTCTTGTTAAAAATTCTGTCAGCATCTATGTTATAAAAACTAAGAAAGTCATCCTTCTTTCTCCAGTTCGGCCACCTCCATTGAATCCCCCCACTACCTGGACAAATTCTAAGATAAGGGAGTTTAAAACAAAGATGGCAAAGGAGAAGAATGCCCGAATGCTAGTGAAACGGGGTGAGGTATTAACAGTCCGGGTGCCCACCCATCCTGATGGGAAGCGTGTCTGCTGGGAATTTGCTACAGAAGATTATGACATTGGGTTTGGAGTCTATTTTGATTGGACTCCTATTACTAGTACTGCCATTACTGTTCAGGTCAGTGAATCAAGTGATGAAGAAGATGAAGAAGAAGAATTTGAAGGTATGTCAGGTCTTCAATAGTGATGTATAAATTTAATAAATATATATGTAAAACCATTACGTCCAAAACAGTCTCTCAAGCAAGAATAACCTCTTTAACTTGAGTTAAAGAACTCAACTTCTTAACTACTTTAAGTTAACTTGAACTGCACCATTAGTCTTCAAATTATTCCACAGACTATCAAGCAGGAAAATTTAATAAACCCTGATAATAAAATGTGTGTTTATTTATTCATAAATATATCCATTCATTTATGGACATAGTTGTGGCTCCAAACACTGCCAATTCTGAGCAGCTTGAATGTCAACCTCTGCAAGTGTACATAGCATCAGAGTTGGGCCATTTAAACTTTAAGGAGGGTGCTGGTCTAAGGAAGCAGGCTAGTGACAAAAAGACCTATGCCTGGATTTTTGGCTAAGGTGTAATGCATGTATGTGTGTCATTGTTGCCCTCTTTTTACTCCTTTTTCTTTATTGTTAAATAGTTTCGTTGTTATTTTGGGGTTTTTTATTTTGTGAATTGCCTAGACTCAATTGGGCAATGTACAGTTGGGACATTGGGCATTGGGCAATGTCCAAATTTAAATAATAATAATAATAATAATAATAATAATAATAATAATAATAATAATAATAAAAAATTCCAGGACTCTGCTGATGACATTCCTCATTCATAGGATCTATAGGCACCTTCACAGCCCTCTGAAGTTAATGAACTTTACATATCTTCCCATAAAACTAGCAAGAATTCTTTCCCCGTAACTCAGGGAAGAATTCTATAAATGTAGGGTCACTGCAGAAATTGTCTCACTCTTTTCTTGTTTCTATTGCAGTATATTATAGAAAATCCCTTACCTGCTAGAAGTTGGAATGTAAGCATTGGATTAAATCAATGTGCATTGGACATGGAGATCAGGCTGTGCCTTATTGCTTCCTCTCTTACAGTGATGGCGATCACTGTTATTTATTATTATGGAATAAAATGGGCCACTTAGAAGGTTCTGATGAAATGACAAGGGGAGGAAAATCATTCCCATTTTATTTTTTTATCAAGTCATGCAAATGTGCAAAATAATACATATAATTAGATGCATATAATTAGTAATACAAATAAATAATGACAATATTTAGAGATTCAATATTTTATATCCTTTAATTATAAAACAGTTTAGGAATTAGGTTGTGGTTTGTTTTAACTGGAATTTTCTAAGGTTCCAGTATAAATATGAAAAGTCTATCTCCAGATGTTTTGAAACCTGCGATGATGCTCTGTGTGTAAGCTTCTTCCACAATCCTGAATCTCTATGACTTCCTCGTATTAGTTTTTATGGCTGATGCATTTCCCTTCTCAGGTCCTATTCCTGTTGGCGATGTGGAAAAAGGAGCCAAAAGCTATTTGCGAAACCGTTATGGGGAGATCATGCCAGTCTACAGAAGGGACAGCCATCAAGAAGTGCAAATAGGCAGCCATGATTATCCAGGGGAAGGCATCTACTTGCTCAAATTTGACAATTCTTACTCTCTCCTACGCAACAAGATTCTTTTTTTTCATGTTTATTATACCACCTAAAAAAGTAAATAGTTTTGGTGCCAAGACTAATATGTATATCTTGTGATGGCCAAATTTTGTTTATATACCCTTCCTATTTGTCCCATTGTCCAAAATGGAGCTAATGATTATTAGCAATTCCACTTTGTTGTATGCAGACAGAAAGCTGAGATTTTAATTACGGCAAGCAAGTCACCGGACATAAGATTTAAATGTCTGTTTTTCTTTGATTGCACTTACAATAACTGAAGTTAAAACATGCCTTTTCTTTGGAAGTATATATATTATCTCCTTCTACTCTACTAGCTACAAATACTGACTGGAATCAGCTGCCAAAACAGCCTATAGAACTCTGCCCAGAACTACATTGTTACTGTGATATTGTACACTGCCATTTGCTTTGTAGTGGAGATCTTGTAGAATGGTACACACGTTGCCTATTCAGGCCACTGGCAGGCTGTCTTCTCTCATCTGCCTCCCATAAATGGTCATCTGCTCAGTTGTTTGTATATATTTTAAGGCTTGGCTGGATGCAATCCAAACTGCATCATTCTCTTTCAATAAGAGAACAACATAACTTTAAAAGAAAAAAGTATATCCTCCCAAATCTGCTTTTGGTGAATTATTTGGGAAGGAAACATCAACAAAGGCTTCTCCAGTTCCAGAATTCATAGTTTGGGGGGCACAATATGCTGTTTTATTGGCAACATTTTCCAATAGTAAAAATTGGTTAACCTCCAAATGTTCCCCAAACATTATGTTCAGGTAAACGAAGCCAGGAACTGTTTATTTCAGAGGGCAGAAAATATCCATTTCATTTATCTAGATACTAAATGGAAGCAATTTATGTATATTTATTACAGTGCTTCCAGATTCCTAGGAGCAAACATTTCCAGAAGAGTTTATACCTTTTAAATGTATTACACAAGCACCTAATAGTTACTATATCAATAGCCAGACAGACACAAGATACCATTGACAAAAAGCAATCCTGAACTATATTACAGCAGGCAGGCACAAATGAGTCCCTTGGTATATTACAAGTATTGACTTTCAGTGATGATTTTGTAATTTATATGGAAGAGTGGTCCACAAAAGCTCACCCCCCATATAAAATATTGAGTCTTTAAACAATCAGCAAGTATTTCTTTTCTTTTTCACCTTTGTTGTTTATTCAGACTTCAAAATCACTGCCAATATTTAACAGATAATAGATAACCAGAGTTGGAAGGGACCTTATAGGTCATCTAGTCCAGCCCAAGTGGGAGACCCTACACCATTTCTGACAAATGGCAGTCCAATCTCTTCTTGAAGGTCTCAAGTGATGGCGCTCCCACAAGTTCCAAAGGCAAGCTGTTCCATTGGTTGATTGTTCTCACTGTCAGAAAGTTTCTCCTTATTTCCAGATTAAATCTCTCCTTGTTCAGTTTCCATCCATTATTCCTTGTTTGGCCTTCAGGTGCTTTAGAAAATAGCGTGACCCCTTCCTCTCTGTGGCAGCCCCTCAAATATTGGAAGACTGCTATCATGTCTCCCCTGGTCCTTCTCTTTACTAGACTAGCCAAGCCCAGTTCCTGCAACCGTTCGTTGTATGTTTTAGCCTCCAGTCCCTTAATCATCCTGGTTGCTCTCTGTACTTTTTCTAGAGTCTCAACATCTATTTTATAATGTGGGGACCAAAACTGGATGCAATACTCTAGGTGTGGTCTTACTAAGGCTTTATAGAGTGGTATTAGTACCTCACTTGATCTCGATTGTATCCCTCTGTTAATACTATTTAGGATTTCATTAGCTTTTTTGGCTGCTGCTGCACACTGCTGGCTCATATTTAGTTGGTTGTCCACTAAGACTCCAAGATCCCTCTCACAGTTACTACTATTGAGCCTGGTTTCACCTAGTCTATATGTGTACTTTTGCTTTTTCTTGCCTAAGTGTAGGACTTTACTTTAATGTAGCATACGCATAATATAGCAGAACTATCTATTGCAGTTACCAGTTGGCAATCATATTATCTTTCATAGTTCAGGTTTTATAGAATGTATATACAGCTCACGTTGTCTCTATAGCAGGAGACATATAAATATACTTAAGATTTCAGGGGCAGATTTGAGCAGGCCTTTTTAAAGCCTTGTGATCTTTGTCCAGTATGGTTAACTCTTTGCATGATTACACCAAATATTTATTGTAAGTAGTAGATCTTGGGGTATGTTCCTAAGAGGTGTTTTTGTTGAAGTTTGGTGGTTTTCTATTTCTGCCATATTTTGAGTGAGAAACATACATAGAGAAAATGAAACTGACTCCTATCTCAGGCTTTTTTAAAAAATTGGGAAATAAACAATGTTTTCAGATTTGAAATGGGAAATGGATAAATATGTACTACTAACTTTAAAGAGGAAATCAAATATGGCTACTCATTCCCATCTTTAAATTATTTAACATGAGTTTGGAGAAACAATTACAGCATTTAAAGTACAATAACTGCAAGGAACAACATTTGGTGGAAGAAGGAAAACTATAGTACAAATGGATTTTATTATTCAGAATTGCTGATTTTTGAAAACAGACTTGAAGAACTCACCATTTAGAGGAGCCACTAAATTGTTTGTTGTAAAACGTATGAGCAGCATTTAATGTTCGCTTCCTTTCCCCGTTTGTAAATTCATATTGTTGAAATCATTTTCTATTAAAGCTTATCTCTAGATGTCCCACACTGTACAAAAAATGAAGCTCACTATGTTTGTCCTCATTTTCAATCCAAAGACTTTGCTTTGTTTAGAGTTTCAGAAAATGAAACAGATTTATTTGCTTTGGCTAATGTTTTTTTGAAGAAATACAAAAAAAGATATATATTTTAAATGTGTAAATTTGTGTTGACTTTAATTACAGAGCTCTATTTTTAACTCTTGAGTAACATAAACATCTTTTGCAACAAAGCAGCTGTATTTGTTCTTAAGTCCCACAGTATCTTCTAAAGGTTTAATGTGACTTGCTGTTGAAATTACAGTATCATTTCTACTTGCAAATGTAGAAAATAGAGGAATGAATTTTTAGAAAAGAGAATAAGATTGAAATGTGGAGCAAGTTAAAACTGCAGTAGATATCGGCTGAGCAAAAGCCTTCGTGCCTTCCTTTCCATTCTCTGTTTAATGATAGTGGCTTTCATATTTGTTCCTACTGAACTAATCAGTTTAAAATTTACTGTCCTTCATATGTATACTTTGCTCATTTGACTAAGGAAATCAATTTGTGAAATTATGAAATGTTGTTTAAAAAGAAGGATTAAAATTCCAGATAGAGCACATCTTAAGAGTTTATACTCTTTTGATGAATCAGGTATCATGTATAATATTCCTTCTCCATCTATGAGTTGTATATACACACATATGCACATGAGCTTTACAGTATCTGTACCTCTTATCCAAAGACTGACTAATCTCAGGCCAAGTCAAAGTATTTCTGTGGTTTGTTTCTCTTTCTACTGTGAAAAATTAAAAAGCTGTATGTGCTTCTTGGATTGCAGACCTAAAATTCTGCAACCACATGCTAATGAAATATGTGGAAAATGCTTAGAGTGAGAAGTTATCCTTGCCTGAAATTGATTCTAGAAAATTTTCAACATTATACATGCATTGTTGTAGATGAAAATAGAAATATAATTTCACTTGAGATAAATTAGCTATTATTTTAGATTGAGAGATTAAAGTGTAATAGAAATGTACTAAAATAAAATAATACATACATAATGTATGGAAATAACAGGCTTTGGCCATGTTCATATGGTAGCGTAAAGAGGTAGCACAAATTAATAACAGTATATGCACTATATGACAATTTAATGCAGAACAGGATCTAGTTAGTCCCAATATATAAATTAGGCATTTTTAACTTATTTTACTTCCACTTAAGTGACACTTTAATCATAGTAATATATTCAGCCCATGTATTTGTTTTAATTAGGCATAATTTGGTATATTTCCTCTTTACTGACAAGGAAGCTACATTGAGACATTATTAAAACTAATTTTGGATGGGATTGGACATAAGCTATTATTGATACTGCTTTGTTTATCTCATTTTAACTAAGAGATAATTGGCAAAGTTGAGGTTCACGAATAACTATGTGATATGAAAGGATTGCTACAGTCCCAAGTGCACTTAAATACAATGAAAATTTGGGTCTGTTTCTAAGCAGTCTTCTGTACAGCATTGTCCTGTAAGTCTTCTTGCACGATGAGGACTTGTATTTTCAAGACATACTGGTATTCCTCTTATTGTCCTTGTAAATTCAATAGAAGTCTACCGTATAGATACAGAGCATGAAAGCCATCTTGAGGCAATTGAAACAGTTCAAAGTGGAGAGTTCACTGACAACTTCATAGTAAATCTTGCTTTAAATAAGAAGCATTTTGTTTTATTCCTTAATCATAACATAAGAGCAAAATTCATGCAATCTGAATTTTAAATAGATTACTGAGAAATCAGGGAGACATTGTCTGATCTTAAAGCATTTTATAACCACTATTGATTTGCTTATCATAAGATTGGGATAACTTTTCTAGTAATAACTACTGCACCTGGGGTATTTTTTTAGAGGATACACAAAGGCTGAGTAAGCAAAATCAAGACTAATTTTTTGGAATTCTTATGGTAGACCAAAAGCATTTATAGTATAGTGAATACTAGTAATGCAGTGAATTTGCTTGTATTTAAAAGAGTCTGAGATTTATTTGAATGTAGAATATAGCCTTTTAAAATGGTTTAGCCTCAAAATAATGTCTAAAATGCATAGATGCAATCCTAAATAAATTAATTTGGGAGCAGGTCTCTCAATCTCTATAAGATTTATTTCTAAATCATTATGGTTAAAAGTGACTGCTGTAAAGATGTCAGACTGATATGTCAGAAAGTAGTTACATTGTAATTTAATGCCAATATATTAGCAAGGCCTTCTGCTAGTCCATGGGTATTTCTGACAGTTTGGTATTAAAGGAAAATATTTTAATATTTAGACTTCAATAACATTTTGATTAATTCAATTTATAAATGTATAACTATTATTACTTTCCAGCACTTGCTTTCTGCTGGGCTTAGTGGAACTAAACTTATACTTAGCAGGTCTAAGCCTTATCAAATATACAATATTGTCCCTAAGAACAAGAATAAAGGATTATTCTGTGCATTTTTATCAGTAACATGAAATTTTTGAAATAAAACAAATACTGGTTTGTAGTTTAAAATGATTGGCCTATAATGAAAAGATGCCCTTCAGAAGAAATTCTATTCTATTTTGTACCATATAGTTTTTTAATTCTGTAATGAACTTATTTATATAATTTTCTTAACAATTTGGTTTACATTCTCTTACTGTCCCAAACATTTTTTTTCTTAAATGGAGAGGCATTTTACAAGTTATGGCACTGGGTTGATTATTCTAGCACAGGTTAAATAAAGTGTTTCTTTCAGAATTTGATTGATATTTGTTACATTGTTTAGAACCATGGTTTTGTGACTGTATTTGACTTTTAAAAAGTTATTTCATTAAAGATTTTCAGCATTCTGCAGTCTTCTGTTTTTCTCCTATTTAACTGATTGGTTATGGATTACATTCAGCACTAAAGTTTTTGAAACCTTAATACAGTTGCTACGTATCAGCTAAAAGGCTGCATCTTTTTGTACTGGTAGATATACATCAGCAGTATTTAGAATATATTACAAGCACACTTGAAAAATAGGCAGCAGATAGCTCTCCATTCAGCAACGGTTAGTAGAATAACAGAGTTGGAAGGGACCGTAGAGGACTTCCAGTTCCTTTTAACCTTAGAGGACTTCTAGCTCAAGCAGGAAACCCTATACCATTTCAAACAAATGGTTGTCCAATTTCTTCTTTAAAATCTCCCGTGTTGGTCACCCACAACTTCTGGAGGCAAGTTGTTCCACTGATTAATAATTCTAACTCTCAGGAAATTTCTCCTTAGTTCTTGATTGCATCTCTCCTTGATTAGTTTCCATCCATTTCTTCTTGTCCTGCCTTCAGGTGCTTTGGAGAATAGGTTGACCCCTTTATGATAGCCCCTTAGATATTGGAACACTGTTATCATGTTACCTCTAGTTCTTCATTTCATTAAACTGGACGTATCCAATTCCTGCAACTGTTCTTTGTATGTTTTAGCTGCCAACAATCCCCTAATCAACTTTGTGGCTTTTCTCTGCACATTTTCTAGAGTCTCATCATTTTTATATCTGGATGATCAAAGCTGGATGATCAAAGCAGTATTTCAAGTGTGGGCTTGCCAAGGCATTAGAGAGTGGTATTAACACTTCATGTGATACTGATTCTATCTCTCTGGTAACGCAGCCTAAAACTGCATTGGCTTTTTTGGCAACTGCAACACACTGCTGGCTCATATTTAAGTGATTGTCCACTAGGACTCCCAAGATCCCTCTCACAATTACTACTATTGAGCCAGGAACCACCTATTCTATACCTGTGCATTTGGTTTTATTTGCCTAAATGTAGAACTTCATTTTCCTCAGCTTTGGGTTTCATTTTGTTAGATAGGGCCCAGTGTTCAAGTCTGCTGAGATCCTTCTGTATCTTGAGCCTGTCTTCTGGAGGGTTGGCTGTTCCTGCCAGTTTGATGTTGTCAAAAAATTTGATGAGTTCCCCTTCTATCCCCTCGCCAAAATCATTGATGAAGATATTGAATTGTACTGGGCCTAAGGCAAGAGTCTCTGGGTACCCCACTGCATACTTCATGTAAAATGCAGTTTCATTAAGCATATTGAGTGCGGTTGGTCATATTGAGTGTGGTTGGGTTAGGCAGCAACATCACCAGAATCCATCTGGTGCTGTTGCTTAACCCACATTTTTCTATCACTTTTCTATTAACATCAAATTCACCAAATTGCTGTATGCCACACCCTCTAGCCCATGGCTGTCAAACTTGTGGCCTGTAGGCCTGATGTGTTATGCGCTGGCCATGCCCATGCCCGGTTTAGCAAAGGGGGGGAGTCGTAATACATCATGTGATGCCACCATAATGAAGCAAGTTTGACAGGCAGTCAGTACTATCCATAAATGTGCTTTCAGCAAAATTTTAAACAGAAGCCATGCACATATAGATCAGCCTAGTGCAGAAGACAAAAATTAAGCCCTACATGTGTCGGCTTAAAGATTTAAAAGTTGCTATTTTTTTAGAGTCAGTATTTATATAGCAATTCTGTCAAGAATCTCACCTTGCCAGCTTCAGTCCTCCCTACACTTTCTTGCAGGACATTATTTATTTAGGAGATTTATATTGCCACCTATTCACACATGGCGACTCAAGGCCCTAGGCAATGGGACCCACAACATTCCTTGCCTCCCCACTCTGGTGGGTCGGGTAGATGTGACTGGCAAGAGACAGTCCCTCACATAACCTGGTCCCAAGCCACAAAGAGCTTTAAAGGTGACAACCAGCACCTTGAACTGCACCCAGAAGCAAATTGGCAACCAATGCAGCTCCCGCAGGAGAGGTAATACATGCACACCGAGGTCTGTACACATTATTATCCCTTCCTTATGTAGCCTTTTTATTGCAGATAATCAAGCGATTCAATTTGGGCTATTTTCAAGGCACGTACATCTTTGAATGTGTCCCAGCTTTTCCAGGGAAGTCAGTAACATTAGAACAATGGCTCCCAACCTTTTGGGCACCAGGGACAGGTTCCACGGAGAGAGGTTTTTCCGCAGACCAGAAGGGGTGTGGTTTTGCGTGCTGCCTGCATCCTGCAGATGGGGCATCGTTGTGCGGCCTGGTTGCTGACATTGGGGACGCTTGCATTAGAATTTCTATTGAAGGCACTGAGGAATCTGGTAAGGAAATCTCTCTGAAAGGATGATCGAAAGAGTCGTGGGTTATCTACTTGTTTTTTAATAATGCCAAACATTGGTATCTGCTTCTGACACAAATAACTCATAAGTGTTCAGATAATAATTGCTGATAGATAATAAAATAGTTTTGTATAAATGTTTCTTATATAAATGTATAAATGTTTCTTATAAGACTCCTTGTCTCAAATGTTTGTGAGAACCTAGGAAATGTGGAGGAAAGAAAAAATTCTCAAGACGTGGATGGATGGTTTAATATGCATTTATAACAATAATTATAAAACTATAAAAATTATAAAACGGTAAGACTTGTGGACTTCAACTCCCAGAATTCCTCAGCCAGCAGCTGGCTGAGGAATTCTGGGAGTTGAAGTCCACAAGTCTTAAAGTTGCCAAGGTTGGAGACCCCTGAACTAGGTGATCTTGAGATGGAGCTGTCCTTCCCAAAAGTGTTTCCACTGGGACAAACTCTGAGAGCGCCTTTAGGCCCAATAGCCATTCTTGGAATTGGTAGGAAGTGTGTCCATTGGCTAGACAAATCCCAAAATAAGATCTGAGGAGCTACAGGGACTATCCAAGATTTCTTCTAATCAGCCACACAATAAGATTCATCCTCTAAATCAGTGTTGCTCAACCTTGGTAGCTTGAAGACTTCCAGAGTTCCAGTATTTTTCCTTGCCATATTATTGCCACCTATTTCACTAGAAGCAAAAACAAAAAAATGGAATGGAATGGAATGGGATGGAATAGAATAGAATAGAATAGAATAGAATAGAATAGAATAGAATAGAATGAATACCATAGTCATTGTAAAAATACATTCATCATAAAATATTAGATACAATACTTAGTGATAGTCATGGATACTAAATAAATAATCAACACAAATCATACTCGGATACTAAGTAAGCAATATAAACGGTAAGATACAAGCAACAAAGGTGAGGTTTCTGAAGCCATGCACGGGGCCACTTAATTCTTGACTTTTGCCTCGTTTTTACATAAGCCAGCACAGCCTCTTTAAGTAAAGGAACCAGTGCCGGCTGTGTTACACCTGCAGTTAATAAAGATGTCAGGAAGTTGTGCGATTCTCGAGTTTACCCAGGAACACGTGAGCCAGCAAACACTCGGCATCCTTCCTTAACGGTCTTGAACCGAACCGGCCCACTGCCGTTTCCCCCAAATCTAGGAGCCCCCGCCCGCTTGGACTCCCCAGTCCAGACCTGAACTGCAGGCCATGTTTTCTGCTACCTCCAATTTCCTGGCTTTTGATGGGTGGAAAACTCCTCTCCGTCGTTGGAGCTGGGCTGCGGGGGGCTTGTGGCACCGAGAAGTTGCCTCGGCCCCCCAATCTCAACGCGCCGACTTCGCCAGGGCGAACAGCAAAGTCGACTTCTACGTGGTGTGGTCTCTGCGCGAGCCGCCCCGGCAGCTGAGTAGGTGAGGTCTCCGGGCTGCGTGGGTTGTCCCGCGCCGAGAAGATGAATTGGGAAGGCAACGTTAAGTTGCTGCTGTACGTATAGCGCTCAAAACAAGCAACCGAGTTGCCTTTGCATTGTTGAAAATTCATTTACGTTGAGCGTTTTTAAAAGAAGTCCCGGTAACTATGCCTTCGTTACTCTCTTGATACCAAATGATGTTGGATTCAAATTTCAACTGAAGTTTTGGTTGCCACGATATAAAAAAAAAAAAAGAGGTCGAGGTTCTAGAAAAAAATGCAGAGAAAAGCCACAAAGATGATTAGGGGACTAGAGGCTAAAGCATACCAAGAACAGTTGCAAGAAGTGAGTATGTCTAGTTTAATGAAAAGAAGGCCTAGGGGTGACATGATAGCAGTGTCCCAGTATCTCAGGGGCTGCCACAAAGAAGAGGGAGTCAAGCTATTCTCCAAAGCACCTGAGGGCAGGACAAGGAGCAATGGGTGGAAACTAATTAAAGAGAGAAGCAACTTAGAACTAAGGAGAAATCTCTTGATGATCAGACCAATTAATCAGGGGAACAACTTGCCTTCAGAAGTTGTGGATGCACCAACATTGGAAGTTTTTAAGAAGAGATTGGATAACCATTTATCTGAAATGATATGGGGTTCCTGCTTGAGCAGGGGGTTGGACTAGAACACGAGTGTCAAACTTGCAACATCACGTTGCCATCATGTGACATTTTGCGACATTTCTCTTTGTGGCCATGGCCTGCGCATGACACATCCGGCCCGTTGACTGCCAGTTTGACACCCCTGGAGAAGGTCCCTTCCAACTCTGTTATTCTGTATTAAGTAGTAGTAGTGCTCCATTTGCCTCAGTGTGGTGCATGAATAGTTTATCCAATAATTTATGGTTAATCTGAAAAACTTCTGATGAGTTCAGCAGGTCAACCTGATTTTAAAACATTGCTTCAAAAACAAAAGTAAGCATGCTTATACTTGTTTACCTGCACACATTCTACTGTATATTATTAACTTTATTTGGCTTTTCTAGTTATTCTGCAACCTTATGTAATACTTTATGAATTTCTTTTAAAAATAGTAATTACTATTACTACCATTATTTTATAAAAACAATGCTTTTATAGGAGACAGTGCCTCCTTTTTGGTGCTATACTATACTATACAGAGGTGAAGTTGAATATCTGGAAGCTATTAGATGTTCTTAGCAGCCAGTAAAGCAGTAGAGACTCTTCTATTAAAACTTGCCTTCCAACTATGGGATCAGCTGTTCATTTTACTCAGTTCAACTGCTTGTTTCAACTTTTTCTCAAATTTGGGAATGGGGAAAACAAGGGATCCTTACAAACAGAATCAGTAGAAAAATTATCTTTGTTACATTAGCTTCCTAGATGTTATCCAATGTTTTTGTTGATCTACTTAATTAACAAATAAGCTTTGCTTACATTTTACCACTTCATTCTTCAGTTTAAGCCCAGCTATTTCCCTCTTCCAAAGTAATTTTTATATTCTATCCCCTCTAAGCAATTGTCATCGGAAATGTTACCAGACTCGCTTGCCGCTTCCATTGCCAAAACAGTTTGTGATCTTCGGGTTGGGTGACTGGAGCCACTATTCTCAGAAAACTAGCATTATTGTGGATGTGTTAATAAATCCGGATATTAAGCCTCAAAGAATTGGCAAGCTGGGATCTGAAACCAGGTAAATTCCAGTCAGGTCCCTTCCACTTGGGTCCCAGGCCTCAGCTTGGGCCTGAAATAGCATTGGTCACACTTTGGGCTGACCTCTGATGGGAACAGAATGGGGTTAGTACCTCCATCTTCGCTTTTCCAAAGCATGTGCTCTTGGTAACCTTCAATATCATCCAACCGTGGTATCTTTCTGGATCTGTGTTAGGGATTGGGAATAGGTGCCACTCTCTTGCACTGCTTCTCTTCCTTCCTCTGTGGCAGATTCCAATCATGTGGCCTGGGAGGGAGAGTCATGCCCCAGGCCCCTACTGTGTGGGATTCTGCAAGTCCAGCAATCCCATTACTCTTGTTTAACATCTATGTGAAGCTGCTGGTGGAGGTGTCATCAATATGCTGATGTTAGCCAGCTGTAAATCTCCACCATGGTGAAATAAGCAATGCTGTTGAAAGTGCCTGTTGGGGATTTGGATGGGGAACAACAGACATCAGCTCAACCCAAGCAAAACTGCATGGCTTTAGGTCTTGGAGCCTTCTGCATCTGAGACTTTAGTATCTTTGGTGCACTATCCCAGATGGATCCTGTTCACAATCTGGGATCTTTCTGGATTCATAACTTCTTTTCAAGGACCAGCTGGCAGTCACAGCTACTATCACTTTTGCACAGGTTTGTGCTGTGTACTAATTGCACTTGTTCTTTGATCAGAAGGGCTCTACTCTCAATCAGTCATTCCCCAGTCACCACTTGAACAAAGTACTCTAAGGTGTTCCATGTAGAGCTGCCTTTGAAGTAGCAGCATAGGCTACTGTGTGCCCCTAGATCATACCTCTACTCTGTAAGTTGCATTGACTGCCAGTCTGCTTCTGGGCTTAATTCAAGGTTATGGCTTTGACCTTAAAACCCTACATGGCATGGGGCCAAGTTATTTGACTTCTCCCTGGTTATATCTACCTGTCCCATCAGTTCTGAATGTTCTGTTTGTCTTTGGTTCCTATTATTTTAATTTTGTGCACTGCCCAAAGTCACATGTATGAGATAATGGTTTATGGATTCAATAAATAAATAAATCTTAGATCCATGTGTCTGTGTTTGCTTGAGCAGATGTTTGGTTTGGGAAGGTGACTGGAGAGTTGATATTCTCATGGCTTCATTTAAGCAGGCAGAGAATGGCAATCCTGTGAAACTTCTGCTGACTGTTAAGGAAGAGGTAAGTAGACTTTATGTTTAGATGTCTTGTTTATGTGTTGCCTAGTGACACTTGATCCTTGTAAATTTATTTAAAATTTTTACCATGTTTGTAAAAAAAAGGAAAATGTCTTTCTTTTTTCTTTTTCTTTTTTTAATTTTTATTCTAGAAAGAACATTAATTTGACATACATTTAAAACAGACAAATCAACATATATCAACAAAGCTGAATACTATATATATATATATATATATATATATATATATATA